CCCACAATTTCAGTTAAAAGTGAAAAAAATTAAACCTTTGAAATGAGAACAAAGAAGCCGGCATTCTTATTCAAATCTCGCCTTCAGAAAAAAGCCAACGTAGCAAATTGGGTTGCAAATGTCTCAAAGTGTTTCATTTTGAATGCGGTAAACATTAATTCTCACGGAAAGGTAGTGATTTGAAAGAATAATCAAGCTGTAGGATTATGTACCTCTCGGTTAAGTAATTTTCAAATGAACTCAGGCAGACACAAAGTTGGGACGCAGGTCGTGTCCTGTGAGCTTTGTTAAAACCGAACTTTATCATGCCTGTGACAATTCAGACTAGATTCGGCTTTCACTTACTTACCAGAAAGCTAGGTTCCATTGGTGATCTTTTGGAAGAATGTCACCGATAAAATTAAGATGACCATCAAGGTGTTCCCGGATGTGCGTCGCGCCTAGAAACTCTGTTTTTAATAGTTCTGATGCTACAGCTCCCCTGTTCGCAGTGTGATTTATACACACAGTCCTAGCGACTGGCCCAGCTATCCCACCAACAGCTTATTAATAGCCAACACGGGAAATAGGCTGACTTCCTTAATTTTCGACGAGGAAGTATTTTACGAGTCACGAAATTGCCAGCTCGTATTTTTTGGAATAGTTTTGCGTAACTTCATTCAGTCCATCGGCCTATTGAAATCCTCATTGTCTTACATGTTGTCCCCTCCATCTCTCTGAATTGGTCGGAGGATAAAAGGGTTGCGCCAGTGTTCTTTTACCAATTTCATAGCGGATTAGGGTTAGGATTAGAGTTAGGGTTGGTGTTAGGGTAACTCGGTGCGTCATTCATTCATATCACCGACACGAATCGCACAAATTGGAAAGATAAGCATATTTGTAGGTAGGTTGCTTTTCTGTGTTTTGTTTGGTTAGGCCCAAATACAAGACAAAATTATCAGCCCGTTTCTACAGCCAGCCATGCACAAATAAGCTAATAGAACACCGTTGGAAACACTGCATTGTCCAGAGGGTAAGCGGGTGCCCGTATTGGTCTTCTCCCTTGAATCACCGTTCACCATGGTTCTAGATTCAAAAATTCACATTTTATTGCACAAAAGTTTTAAGATTGATTTAATCCCATCCCCAGTAAATTGGCATCTTCTTTTTTCAACTGTATAATCATAAAAAAAACACGAAGTCTGAATTAGATCTTTACCACCACTTGGTCACTCGGCATTCCGCTAGAATGATCTTTTGCAAACAAATTTTTGGTCAAATTCCACCTGTCATTCCATTGGCAAGATTCGAAAGTCTTTCAGGGATGCCGCTGGCAAGGTTTTGATTTTGATTATTACCAAAACGGTAACTTGGGCTATTCTTGTCTGGGGTTATAACATGGATTATACTTTCTTTACCTAAATTTAGGAAAACGAGATGTTTTGAAGCGTGGACAGCGGCTTTAGGTAAATTACCGGCTGTTCTTAATCCATACACAGACAATCTACTCACACATTTAAAATTTTAGTTGCAATAAACTCAAACCTTTCCTTGTCTCTACAATTAACTACTTCAAAGTAACTACTTTTTGCATGCCTGCCTATTGCATTCTGGAGTTTTTCAAAACGTTTGCATGTACTGGTGTTGCAATTTTTTTCTCACATTAGTTACTAAGAGCATTTATCTAGGGCTTATCCAGGTATAAACAAAACTCTGTGGCTACGTACGACGACGCACCTCGAAGTCCGTTCTTAAATAACCGACGCTAAGAAAAGTCACTTCGTAAGGCTATCTTCCTGATTATTGTTAAAATGTGACTATGTTAGTACCTTTGAAAACCGTCAAAAATATTCTAATAACAAAGTTTTTGACGATTCTACTTAAACACGAGAAACGTCCTCGATCCAGCAAAAACTGTTTTCAGTACTCTTTCTTATTTATAACTGCCAGTAACGAAGGGCCTGGACATATGAAATGATTTCGGATACTTTTTTAGTGCACAAAGGTGAATTTGAGAGTGCTTCCATCTGTAAACATTGAAGCTCCATGACACCAACCATGACCTCGAAGGCGTTGAATGTCACCCAATCGTATTTCAGTCCAGGGCATGCCTAAGGCGGGCAAACACGCTGTCGCTGCACTATCACGCGAGGACTTGCTGCCACTTTTGTAAAAAAGATGGTAGTCAACTGTTTTGGAGTATTGTTGACTACCATAAAACGATGGTCCCATGGCGAAATTGTCCAAACCCGACCGAATTAAGATGCACCAAGCAATTATCTACCCGTTTTCATCAAATAATGATGGGGATTGCTTAGTGGGAATTTGTCGGGTATCAGGGGCTAGTAGGACTTAATTTAGTCTTTCGAATAATCATAAATTATTTGAAGACCGCACAATTTGGGCTACTAGGCCTGAGTGATGGGTGTGCAAGTGGTCCAGCAATATAACAAAATCATGAATGCATGAAATCACCTCCATCACTCACGAGACCTTATACTCACTTTGGTAGAGTCCTATCGTAGGGTCCCTCTAGGAAGGTACTATGGAACACCATAACCTCTACCATTGTTAAACACTGGCTACATTCACTTCACGTGCAAAAACTTGGTGGCGATGGTAAAGAAAACCTGACCTGCAGAGGAATCAACTTCTTCAGGTTGTTCCACGGGCGATGTAGTAAACAGAGCCAGAACAAATATGAAAGCAGCGATCCGACTCATGTCTGATTACAGGTTAAACACAAAGGTGCTTGGGAGATTTACAGATGCGCATCTATAGGAATGTTAAACAACAATCTGAAAATTATATCGTTCACTTCGACATTATCAAAGAGGTGTAGTCGAAGGATGGGGAGGCTAAGATGGAGAGAGCGGGTTTGAAAAAGAAACGTAGTCGTCACTAACATCCACCTTCGAACGTGTGTCAGTTGTTTTCAAGAATTCGGCAGTTTATAAGCGAGTACCGCCTGGGGGAAGCAATTTTTGTTGTTTTTATGTCCTCCTTCACCACTCGTCCTTCAGCAACTCCTAATTGCATTTGCAAACGCACGACAATTATTACACAGTAGTTAAATACGCTTCGAAATACCCGCTTACCAAGTGTACTGTTGTGATGTCGGAGATTCAAACTTAATGGAGACCAGAGGTTAAGATCCAAGATGACGATGTTCTAGGCAACTTCCAGTTTTAAATCATCGGTGGAATTTCATAACGGGCTTGCTGGGCCAATGGTTCAAGGGTGAAAAGGAAAGAGTTCATTGTCATCAATCGCCTTTTCCTGATATCATGACAGTCAGTATGATCTATTAGAAGGCTTTGTAGTGGGAAGTAAAGTTTGTGTTCGTCGACATAAGTAGCTCTATCTTATTGGGTTAAACTGATCGTCGTCGGTAAAATCGGACTGTTGGGCTCACAGTGAGTTGATAACATCAACCGTCAACCATCGTGAAATATGACTTATGTTTTGTTTAGATAATCCAGTCCACCTATGGCATGGAGATAACAACCCCCAGGATGCATAAATCCCGTGTTTATTTGATGGGATATCGATTGACGCCCTCACGCGAGATTTGAAGAAGCGATTTGTTGATATGATTTGCTTGCTCAAGTTTAGCTTCTGATAGGGGAGGCAATTAATGTAGAAGGCCATTTAAACTGGCAATATTCACCGCTCCATCCCACACGTCTCGGCATGACTCTTGTAGCGACTTCAATCCCCCACGTGACATTGTGAGCAAACGTAATTCGAGCCAACTTCACAAGCTGTCTGAAACATGTGTCACCCCTAAACACGTGTTTACCAGGCATGAGTCAACTCGTTGACGGCTTCATTCGACAACGTTCGACAGACTTTTCACAGTACTCAAGCGAGAAGTAGAGCAGGCCACCTAAACACAGCATTCTAAAGCCACGTACCAAAGGTGACTGATGATGCGGCAGACGCATTCAGTGGTCTGGCTATTAAAGTTCATACATAGAACATCCTGTTTCGTTTTCAAACCTTTTCAGCACAATTGGTAGCGACAACCTTGTTCAACCTCACTACTCATTTACTTAACTATCTTACGTTATTATTAAAGGATGCTCAGATTCGTGCAGATGACTGGTTCTTCACTTGTAAAAAAGGCACGAATTTTAGTCATCTTCGGGGTGGGAAGAAGGAGAGAACACCTTCCCATTTCTTTATATGGAGCTGTTTTTATGGAAAATGGCTTTGCTAGGTGAATGTCCTTGCCTCAGCGGACTGGCCCTTAAGCAAATCAGTTTAATCCCATGGCCATGCCTCAGCGTCGCGTCAATGTCCAGGGCCGGGGCAGCAGGTGAGTCATTTTGGTGCTGTGGCATGACTAAGCCGTCTTCCCACATGAACAAAGCACTTTAGCTCGCGGACGCGGTACTGGCTGAACACGTGCATGCATGGTTCCTGTATTCGTGTTCGCGGGAGTGGCGGTATACTCTGAAACGCGAAGTCATTCATTTGGACACACCAGCAAGAGCACACATCAACTGGCAGCTTGAAACTCGCGGCTGTTGACATGACCTCGAAAACGCCAACCAATCGAAATTAGCCGGCAGGATAGCAACGAACAGGTAAATCGTCTGTTTCCGACACAACTCGACTAAGTGAACTCATTAAAACGATCGATCTGTTGCCAATGCAGAAAAGTACGTTTAAATAGCTCGGACGACCGACTAGGTGCTTGAGTTAATGATATGAACAGCCCTAATAACAGACACGCTTAGCGTAAACAGAAGTCTGCCGACGATAATAAATTCAAAGCAGGCTGTGTCCAGAAAGTATCATTAAAGGATTTTCGAGTGTCGTAGAAGTAATCATGGGACCAAATAACAGCCGAATGGCCGAAAATTTGAAGTTATTTATGCTGCTTGCCTGTTGCGTTTGTGTGGAGCAAAAAGGCGTGGTTTGTAAAATGGATTCATGCTAAAATTACCCATATCAGATTTACATAATGTAATTATCATACTCCTGCTTGGTGACCAATGTCTGATGTGAACTATTTATTCTGAGCCTGGACAGTTGAGTTTACACAACATCGTCACGTCGAAAGTCAGCAGCGACAAAACCGTAGCCACGCTGTCCACATGACCGACACCAAGGTCGCCATGGTTGAGCGTAAATTGCGTGTCCATTCGGGCGTAAACCGCGTTAGGTTGGTGAGGGGGTGGGCTCCAACTGATGACCGTCTGGCGATCGAGGGGAACCGGAGTAGCACGCCTGGAGGCTGTGATTGGTGTGCGTCAGCTCCAAAACCACATTTGTTTAGTTTATTGGTGATTATGCTGAGCGTAGAGGAGGTTCAAAAGGAAATCTACGATGAAGTATAAAACGCCATTTCTATCATCCCGCTAAATTTTATGAGCCTGACTACTCAAGCTTCTCTGAACTAATTATAGCCTTAAAGTAAGGTTATTCGTGCATTCATTTGCGTTGCACACGGTTTGGGTTCTGGTTAATCTAGTGCAACGATCAGCCTCTTGTGGCGGCTTCTCTTTGATCGAAGCAAACATTATTTTTATTATGTTTATGATTCTATCACTATGCGCTCGACCGGTGAAACGTTTTATGCTCTCTCTCTCTCTTTGCCACGGGATTTTAAGTCAAAATAATTATGTTTACTGAAATGGGACATTGGGGTTTGCTACAGTCTACCGTTGAGGTACACAAGGAAGAACCTTAACTCGACGTGGACGATTTGCCAGTTGAAGGTCATGAGACGGACTGAAGCACTTTCTAACTTCGCCATCAACTCTGAAGCCTCTTCGATTTGTCGAAGCGCCAACCAAATGACACTTCGTGCATGCTGCCAACTCCACTGAAGCATGTGAGTCGGAAGGATCATCGCACGAGTCCTGTGGTGAGTGTCCGAATCCATATTTAAGAGCTATGATCGAGATTAACCAGGAGAATCGGAGAAAGATGTGTGTGATATTCACAATATGAAGAAATTTAGTTGAAAACGAACTGAATGCTTTGATTCTCATGGGCCCACACAAAGAAGGGACCTTCGAATCGGTGAACCTCAGAGATACTGAAAAATACTCTATCGCAAGTATGCGAGTCACTGAGCTCCACAAATGAATAAACTTATGCGACCCACTATATAGACAGACAGTAATGATTGTTGATGCTAATGGATTGTCGAAGTGGCTTTCTGGATATGCGGCTATTTCAGAAAACGCTTGGGTGTTTTTATTCGCCACGACCATTCTATCAGCAAACTAATCAGTCATAGCTCCTGAGGCTATTGAAGGGGACCATTGTGAAGGACAATTGAATGTTCCAACATCAACTTGAGAAATATCGACAGTTCTAATGAGTTAGGTTAAACTTTGCTTAAAATTGACCTCCAACTGCTCCTTGGTAGCCGTTTACCCAAAACACCGTGACAAACACCACATTGAATGAATCATCATTAAAGCCAGGCGTCGCGCGGAGATTTATTTCGAAAGATACCACGTCAGTGGTAGCGGCCGTAGCGTTGTAAATGAGCAATGACGTTGAGTTTTATGGCTTGATTTGTTGAGTCACAATTTGTTCAATAAAACAGTCGGACTAAAGCTCACATAACCAGATATTTACTGATTTGGTTTAATGAAAAGAATAAGTTCCTTAAATCATATCAGGCTTGTTAAAACTCTCCAAATTGAAACTCCAGTCTCAAAAGTGCAGGCGCATCCAGTTTTGTCTATGGGTCAAGGTGCTGAACTAATGTTGTACTACTTCGCAACGAAGTCTATGGGTGCCATATTCGGAGGAATCCCCATGAGTTGCATTCATTTAGCACGTAGAGACGCCGGCAACATTTTGTTTGCTTATGTGTGAGTGCGTGAGTTGAAGTGGATCCACACGTTCGGCTCGTTTTATGAATTATCCCTCCCCTGACCCGCAAAGTCCTGTTTACTGCGTAATAAATCAGACACTATGAGGACACGCTGGGAGTCTAAATGTCTCGATTTCACGCCCCTTGATACCAAAAAGGGCACACCGACAACAGCTAGGCTTGACTTCGCACCTTAAAAAGGAGAAGCTCCAACGTCTTAATGCCTGAGCAGCCTTTACAGCCGATGTCTATGCACGTATATGCCATGTGCGGATTATGGATTTCACATTGAAACTTCACTAGTGGAAGCTCAGATGAAGGAAACACTTACTACCATTGTAATTATCAGTAAAGGGAACTCACATTCAGTCAAGCTTAGATGAATTTTATGGCGGTTCCTCATTGGAATCAGCCATCACTTGAAAAAATTGCAGCATGAGGAAGCATGTGCAAGTGATTAACCGATGTCTCCCATCTGTTCCAAACACGTGACCTAAACATTCCACACCGCTTGGGAATCATTGTGGAAATACGTAAACCTGAAATGGGGCTTATCCCACGTCTCACAATTATGGCGTTCGAAACCACATGGACTTCCAAAATCAGAGCTCATTTCTTCGTAACTTAAAGCGACAAAGCTGTGGGAGTAGCTTTAAGGCGACCTCCGCAACCCTGCAACACGAATTCTGGTTTACCTTGACCAGAAGAGGTGCGTAGTTTAAAACGACGCCCTTATCGATCAAGATGAATTGTGGATTTATTTAATGGGCGGATGATTAAGTATCACGAATCATTTTTCCGTTTAGAGGCAGGGATTCCGTTGACACGAAGTCGCCAATGCTTATTAAATGAAAATGTGGTCGATGTAAATAAAAACTACAGTTATAATATTCAGAACATTCTCCATTGATTTACAGATGTTAAGATCATTTGGTTTAACGTTCAAGGACTGCAACGGAATCTGTTGGATCTGACTGAGAGTATGGTTAACTCGAGTTCATTGCTTACTTTCGTTTCGTCTATTCCTGGACAGTCAAAGACACACAGGGACTTTCAATGATTTTCTAGACACTTCAAATCTATGTATATATTTAACACAAGTTTTAAATGAACGAACCCAGCTAGAAACTTAATAGTTATTACAAAATTTGAACCTCCAAATAAATCTGTAGGTCCAACCATCTGTGTTCAATCTGATTTTGCAATAGTTGGTGTTTCATTACATGATTACGGAGCATCTACCCCCTGGAATTCTTTTTATTACTATTATTATCGTCGCGCTATTTCTACTTGGAGTACGAGCACGACTGAGTCCATGCAAATTTCGATCAATCAACACTGAAGGCCGTTCACGAGTAGCGACTAACAGCCGGCGTGCACTTCGAACACGAAGCTCTTGCCGGTTGTTTGCGCGCGCGCACACACGTCAGCACACGTTTACCCGTCTCTCAACAAGAACAGCTGTTCAGCCACCAGGCTCACAGCCATTGGTTGAAGGCTAACCAATCAACGCACCGTTTGAGTGCGTGCATGGACCGGTCGCGATGACTGTTCGCCACTAGGCGCATATTTGACGTGGCTAACCGGCGAGGGCGGCGAGCACGACTGCGTGCAATGTCACTGTAACCTTGGCTTGTTATCTATGCATATCTATACATGTATCTAGGTGCTTTTTGTGTCTATTTTCATGTGTGATAAAAGTGGCCTATGGTAGCTAACGGATTCCCTTCATCGTTCTTTCCTGGCCCGCGACCAACAAAGGACTATTTTGAGCCACAAATGGAGGCCAACCAGGTCCCCTCCGCTGCCGAGCAGTCTTCCTCCTACCGACTGCATCTTAGAAATGGAACTGGAGGGCAAATGGTACCAGCCGTACCTACCCTTGTACTTGAAAATCTATCCTCTTTCCTGCAAAATTGTCGTGAGACCCCAGTAACCAACCAACAGCAGCAATCTCTGCAACCACCCAATCATTCCCTCTATCCTCGTCCCCCGTCGTCAAAACCGCAAATCGAGTGGGTGTATTCACAGCACAATTTCTCTGGTCGCTCCCCTGAGTTACTACGAATGAAAGCTAGGGACTTAATTCAACAGGGGAAGTGTGACAGTAACGTTGCTTACTGTGTGGATCAACCCTCGATGCTAGTTCGTATTGAATGCCTCAAACCAGGTTGTAAGTGTGTTCTTAAGCAAGAGCCAGCCTTGGCACTGAAAATAGTCTGTGGAGTCAGTTTGGTGAAGGGTTGTTGGTCCACTCTCCAGTCCAATCTTCATTCTCACCAACGTTCTACGAAATGGGGCTCAATTTCATCAGCCTTCGAGCGTCTTCAGCCCAACAGTCCTTCAACGACATCCCAGTCTTTCCAGTGTCAAAATCCTTCAGAGCAGCTGCCTACATCTAACAATCAGTCCGGTGAACCAATTCCCCTAATCTTTACGTCCTGTTCTCCCTTCTGGTTCGAAATTCTACGACAGCAAAACGAGAATTTCCTAATGCCAAGCATCCCAACCTGGAACTCTGGAAAAACATTGTGGAAGGCTCGGCCACCGATGTTTCTCCTTCGAAAACAAACTAAGTGTGTCCTCTCTGTGTCGTCTTCCTCTTCTTCCGGGTTTCGAGGTCCCGTGACTCTTGACCTCGATAATGTGGTTAATCTACACCCAGGCACCGTCCTGAGATTGCTTGACTGCAAGCCCTGCCGATTGGTTTCGAAAAATAACCCTCAATGCCCCCCCAGCGCTTCTCTTCTCCAGTGTGAAGTTGTTGGTAGTAAGTCGCTGATGAAGTATGCCGCGTTAGCGAATAACCTACCGCCCGATGATGCGCTCTATTGGTTTGCTAGTGGCTCTCGCCTAGTCTATCTCCCCTTGGATGACAAGAGTGTTTCATTTTCCCCCATCGCTCAACCACCGCCGAATTCTCGAGAGAATAAGCACCCAGGATGGGCCCATTCAGGCGCTCATTCGGTGCTCTCTCTCCTGTCGCACTTCCCTCTTCCTATCACTGTTCGACCTGTTATGGAACACAGTTTGGCTAACTGGTTGACTTCCTCTTCCCCAGGTATACGTGACGGCAGCTCAGGCCTTCAACTAACCTCTTGTCACCACGGCGATCTTGTCTTCCTCGAGCCGATCGCAGATTGTGGTCCCGCAGCCGTGGCCAATAGCAACACAAGTGCGGCTGGTGGAAGTTCCCGTTTCTTTGTTGTCACCGCGGAAATGCTTTCCCAACACCGGTTCATTCTTGCCACTCCACAGTCCTCCCAGTTTTACGCAAGAGAGCTGAAGACGCACGCTTCGCGCGTAGCCCATTTTCTGGCGGCTTTTCACCCAGCGTGCGGGCTGAACTACCTCCTTAAGTACCTGGAAGACGTCACTCATTGTTCTTCGTTCGGACCCCCTCACCGTCCCTTGACCGAGACCCTTGGGCCATTAGGTGGTGAGGGCACAGTGGCCTCTCACACGGCAGTTGGAAGTATCGCGGCCTCAATGGCGCTTCACCTCGACAACGGCGATGGGAGTCGGTCGCCTGATTTACACGCATTGTACGATGACCTCGACGACATATACCAGTACGTGAGAACAGGTCGTTTCCCGGCCAAACAGAGGGGCCTAACTCCATCTACTGGGATGTTGCGAAGTTGTTCCGCAACTCCAGGCCCGGCAAACAGCTCTTCTTGTGCTACTCCAGCCCCACGCACGAGGAGCCGCCAGGATTACACAATTCCCTACCTTTTTTTCTCGCCAGAGTCGAGCTTTCATGCCAATAACGCAACTTCCAATCAGCAGCCACCCCCGCCCCCTAGGAGACAAATTGCCAACCCCACTCATGCGTATGAGTACCCCAGTCCGAGCAGATATCTGCTGAAAACCGACCACTTCCCGCAACAACTTCCGCTCAGCTCGCCCAATAAACGCAGACAAGCGTACGTAGATTGCGGGCGCTTCCGGTCAGTGGAGCAGCAATTCTGTGTTCCCCCACCGCCTCCTTCTTACTCAATCCTTAATTTTGCTGCCGTTAACGAGCGGACCAATAGCTCCCCGGACACCGGTTTGGGCGGAGATAGCGGACAGAGCGGGAGTTTGCTCGTCCCCACCGCAACCACTTCAATAGTGCGCTCCTCGTGCCACCAGCTGATCAATTTTTGCGAGAACGGAGTCGCAGGTGAGAGTGACGTATTGAAATCCCCACATCTCGTGTACCCGCATCTGCGTCGCTTAACGGTAAACCTGAACAAGCGTATTCTATGATTGTGTATGGGTTATGTATAAAGCCGAACCTGTATGTACTGTTCCTTACCCAATGACCCATGTTTGCGCCAAGTTTTTCTACAACTGTACTGCTATTGATTTGTCCGAGCAACATGTCATTAAAAGTTCCTCCTCCTGTTTCGCAATTCTTGTGCGGGGTTTCGTCTGGTTGGTTTGTCTCTGGTTTGGGAAGCAAACGCACACTGGACGACCATCTCTTCTCTGACCCACGCCACAGTATGTCTTCTTTATGGACTATTTAGCTCGGCCACCGACCCTGTCCTTTCGGGTTAGTGTGCGGGTGGATTGTTGCCTTTATTAAGTTTGTATTGTAGCAGCGTGGGTGGAAGGGCTTTTCGTATACTCCTGGATGGGTGTTCACCAGATGCCAGTAACTTCGCAATCATTGTCGAATTCCGATGAAGTAAATGGTGTTTTTTTGTTTTCACCGATATAACCACAACCAGGTTACCTGGACGTTATTTATAAAGACCTGGGATACTGCTTATACATATATTAGAACTCAGGAGTAGTAATGGAGGGCATCCTAGTTTAGTTGTAAAGTCACAAATCGGTGTGGAGTCATTTCGCATTGGTGGTATGGCGGAAGTCCCGTACAGTGGGCGTCGATATCGAAGGCGATTACGACGTCAACGCGCTAAACAGACGTAGAATTGCCACCTTTGGTTCTGACTCGCTTTGTGGATTTTGGCGTTCTCGGTTAGGGCTGTACCGTGCATGAAAAACGCCAACAGGTTTTTGATGAAAGTGTGCCTTAATGGGGAAGCTGCGGTAACAAAGGTGCATGGAATTTGTTTCATCGATTGTCCCGCCTCCGTGGTCATGGTGCCAGTTGTCGATGGCAAGTTCTTAGTTCTCCAGGTTTTTTTCAAAGGGTAGAAACTAGTGCGAAGTTATAAATTGGTAAGGCTTGAGCTCTTAAAGAAAGTATTGAATTCGGTTATGAAGGAGGTAAATGATAGCGGGGAAGACCGTTGGAATTGATTGTAGTGTTTGGCAGAGGAGCGCATGGGAGATTTTTACGCGCTGCCCCTTACGCTTTTCCCTGCGGCTTTGCTTGGTTTAAGCGAATGTGTGTTCATCGTGACAGGAAATCGCGGCAATTATAACCATGCATGATAAACGCTATACAGGAAGTTAGTAAGTGGATTCAGACATCTGGTCTGGGCATTAAAGAATTGAACTGAACGTTAAATTGGTTCTGAGTTGTTGAGTGAAATTGTAGCCCTTATAAACGTACTGAACTCAATTTCAGTCAGTAGACTGATAAAATTTTGTGCTTAAAAACCCAAGAATGCAGTGTTGTGCGCCCACTTAAAACGAGGGATAAATGTAAAACTTATCGAAACAATCAAAAAACCGTACTTCAGTTGCATCGGTACTAAATGGTTTCGTAAACGTGTACAGGATAATCTTGGATACGTACGCGTAATTACCGACTCAATCTAACTAAGACGTTATTTTTACCAAATAGGTGGAACTGTCAAATGGTTCTTCCGGACTGGAATTTCGGAATGACGTTTCTGAGAATGGCGTTCGAACACGAGGAGGCAAATATGTATTCAGTGTTGCATGCCAAGCTCTCTGGCCTGCCTAAAAGAAAGACTTACCGCGAATTAAAAAAAGGCAGGCACAGGGAGCGTATTTATTAGGACTGGAGATTTACAGAAGGTCAGTATTCAGTCAAATTCTTGCAGATAGTCAAGCGCCGTTCTGTGGAAACATTCAACCCATGAACAAGGTCATGCCTAAAGTCGTCAGTACAAACTTTACCTGAAGACTATCTTTGAGCTAAACCATTCAAATGTAGTCTTATGGTATGCGCGACTCAGAAAGGCTCAGTTCGTCCATTTTCCCCACAACGAGTGCAAGGATGGCGGTTCATTTTTTCACTTATCATTAACTATTTCCGGCAAAAAATTGATTTACGGTGTACTCTAGGTACTGAAGTCTTGGCTTATTATCAAAAACAGCTTTCAGAGACGATATTGATTTTTCTCATGAACCCACATTTCATAAAAGTGCATTCCGTCAGCGTGTGATATTTGCTACACACGACCTCGAAAACTGTGTATGGCCTTGTTTATTAAATATGAATGTTGTATAATGTTTGAGTGAGTTAATCGACAGCCAGTGGAAAGGGTTACAAAATCTGGTGTTGGCGACCAAGAGTTAGAAGGCAAAATGCGCTAACAAAGACATAAATTTGTGTTTCTGCGTGAATATTGGTGCGTGATCTTACAGATGTTCACCACGTAATCAGCATAAAGTACACGCGTGCAGTTGAACAGATTTGGCCGATGGATTAACAGTGCATCGAGGGAAAATTCCACGACAACTTCACCTCGTGAACCCTTAGCTACTGCATTCGAGGCTTACCTTGAAAATGACCCAACCCGCACTGTCTAGTCTAACCAGAGAGTACGATTCAGTTAAACATTAAAGTGTAGAATTTTTAAGTGACGACTAACGTCTCGAAATCATAACACATGGGTTATGGTCTGGTGATTTTTCTGGCAAAGTCACCCCTTCTCTAATGGTTCTTCATTTTACCCAATTTTTCACGAAAAAAGAGCCAGAATAGTTCATTTTCCTTTCCGGCACGGCCATGAAACGAGTCGATGAGGACTCTGCTCTTTCTCCAAATGACGTCTGAATATGGAACAAGCCTATTTTGTGTGCTGCGCTTTCAAAGTACTTACTCTAGTGCCGACAGTTTGCTAAAGCCATTAAGTTAAGTTTGAGGGGTTTTGCGATTCTGTGTGTGTGTGTTTGTTTTAATGTCGTTGAAATTATTGCCGACTGTAAACATCAAAATCTCGCTGCTCTCTTCACCCCACCCCACTTTACGGTTGCGTGCAAACTCTAGGTTTTTAATCGTACCTAAACCACTTACCAGAATCACTTGAGTTATTGTGATCTGAAACGTATTCTATTTATAGCGCAGTCGCACGCCGCTCTAATCATAAAAGTCAAAAATTAGCCGACCTGCAATTAGATAGACTTCAGAGGAGAGTAGGAGGGTGCACGCATCACAATTATTTCATAATATCGCTGTAAAAAAGCCACCTTCCAGTAATCACGACAGTAACTTCCGTAATGCGTCACAGCTTTCGAGAACTCACTAAGTAGACTTAAAGGACGAAGCTGGTGTTAATTTAAAATTCCGGTCGATGGCCACACGTCTTTGAATGTGCTGGAAAATCGCAATTTTTGAGGGTTTTTTGGCAAATCACGATGTCGAGATATGACAGTGACAGGTCCACCACTTACAACCTGTCCACGAAACCCACCCGCTTTCCGGATCACGTAGTCGAAGAAGTGGCCTGTGAACAAAGTCAGCGAGTGGAGCCAAATTCATTGACTAAATTGACAAGGCTTTCTCTACATTTCAAATGACCTCAAAATATGTACAGACAAATTTTCAGAACACCAAATAAATTAAACCCATACAGAAAGCAGAGGAGGTGTTAGCTGCAAAGGGATATTCCAACACAAAATTAGTGGAATATAATTAAGCATGAAGAGTGTTGGAAAGGGTAAGTTTTTAAAATGTCATGAATAATCTTTCATTCGCTATTAAAAATTGCCACATTTTTGACTTTGACAAAACATTGGATAACTTCATTGAAGTCAATGTTTTTTCAGCATGAAGCCGTCTAATTTATTTTTTCAATCAATTTCTGCGTCTGGAAAGAACTCAGGTCACAATCTATATTTAAACTGAAAATCATTAGTTGTTTCACGATAGGAACAGGCGTTTGGTAATTGCGTTACCTGTTTCCACATCTTCCAGGCATTCGAGCTGAATTCTCACTGTAGGAACGCCCGGGCTATCAAAAATTTCAAGATTTAAAGGTGGGACTAAAATACTATGCAACATTGAGGCTTACTAGTTGGCGACAATTATGTCACACGTTAAAATTATCGAGTAAATATGCTGGTATTAATATGTGTCCGTTAAAATCAGCCCACAACGCCATCTCGCACCCTAACATGTGTAATTATGGCCCCTAGTTCGTGGAGTTCACCAGAGTTCAAAGTTAGCATAATGGTGATAGAATTTTCGGTGGGAACGAAGCGACCGACTCGTTGAATGGTGAGGCGGTAATCGCCCCACATGGCACTTAATGAGTGCCTGCCTGCCTGTCTGCCGGACTGAGGCGTCGAAGCCTCCGTTTATTTGCTTACCCGGGACTGGTGACTAAACACCACGGGAGTCGTAAAACGCAGAGGCAATTAGTGGAGTTGCAATAATGCACAAAAAACCAACATCTTGATTGGCTTTTGCTATAATGCGTAGAAACGAGATGATTGGTGCAGTGGGACTTGCATAGGAGAGTTTACACAGAGTCAAATTAGACTTGGTGAAAGCAACCGTCGTCAAAAAGGTAATTTTAGTCACCCTACCCCATTAAAATTGGTAAATAAAATCAAGCCTTAAAATAGAACTTTATTTACTTCTGCAAATTTTCAATATTAATGACTTTTACGGTAATCGGCATTTTGGTGCAACTGACATTCACAAATTTTCTTCCAATTCGACCAAGGTCAGTATCCAAGGCTGTAAAATAACTGGTTGGCACCAACCAATGGCCAGAGGAGAATTCACACATGTAAGGTCGTACGTTTTCCATCACTAATCATGGGGCTTTCGGCACCTGAGAAATACACAGTTCTATAAGCAAGCTAAAAAAACCGACTAATCAAAATGGGTTTTCGACCAGGTAGATGTCAAAATTGGCCACGTGTGAATGCTTATATGCAGCATTGGCAATGAACAAAATTTTTTTCACCATCATTCATAAAACACATATTTAAAATGTATAATCTGAAAGCCACAAGATCAGCGATTGCAGTGGGCAGCCCTCAGACTGTCGTTGTTTGCTTAACATCAGAAAATACATGACTGAATAACCGTGAACACATCCTGTCAGTTAGGTCAGTAGAGGTGGTTCAAAACAAATAAGTATCAGCGT